AATTCACAGAACAGATTTATGGAGAATCCCTGGCATGCAACATAAGTCCACATTTTATAAAAGTATTTGCCACAAGGGCCTTTTAAAGAGAGGTTCTCTAATTTAAATTTCTTAAAAAGGGATCCTATTTACATATATTTCCTGGAGATTTATTGCTCAAAGCAAGGGTCACCTGAACTTTCAAAATGTTTCACAAGCAAGGGGCCCAGCACAGCATTCTGCCACGATGAGGAAGCACACAAGGGGCCTCCAGCTCAAGAGGATGGTGGCCAGTGCCCATTATTTTTGGCCAGAGAGATCAAGTTAGCTGTTGACAGCTTTAACACCTCCAACCAGGCCACTCAGGGACAATGATATCAGAGACAATTACTTCCCTTTAGTAGCAGAAGTGCCAGAGAGCAGGTGTCAGTCCCTGCAGAATTGAAGCTTCTCTCCAGTATGAGCCCAGAGCTCCACCCTCTACCCTCAGAAGGAGGCCCCTCAGGGAAGACTTGAATTCCTTCTCTTCAGTTAAGGCTTGGGTAGCCATCCTGTCACTGCCACCACCTTTGGACTTCTCCCATCCCACCCACCAACCCACGTAAAAGAAAAGACAATATTTTTTCTAAATAACAGATTCAAATTAGCTTAATTTTGAAAGGCTATTGAGAATGTTGCAATGACCTTTGCAACAACCAGACACACCCTAGGATCTGTAAACCAAGTTTGAGAATTGCTGACTTTAAGAGCACCTAACCTGTAAAACAAAAGCCCTTTTTGGGGCTCTGCCTGGGACCCATTCTCACATCAGGTGACAGGTACACAGTCCAGAAAGATCTGGTTCTGCGTCTGCTGTGCCATCTGGGGCAAGCTACTGCCCCTCTCTGGGCCTCAGTCTGCCCTTCTGTATAATGAGGATGATGGATGCTCTGTGACCTCTGGGGTTCCTTCTGGCCCTGATGTTGTCTTACCACCTGCCTCCTTTAACAACAAAACCCAAAATGCAGTGGAACAAAGAATGGGAAAGGGAAGAGAATGGTTCAGAAGTCTTGACTGCGATAAACCTCCCCCGATTCCTGCCTCCTGAAAATTACTTTCTTCATTCTGCAAGAAGATTCCCATTTCTTGCTGGGTTGTTCTTTTTTTACTTCTTTTTCTTTCTCTCTCTTTCTTTTTTAACTTAAAAACCAAAAACCACAACTCACCTCCCCAAAACAGGTCATTCTGAAGCCAGAGCTGTCAGGGTTTAGGTGTGTCAGGCCTGGCATACTGGTGGTATCTAAGTGAAGACCAGGCCAGGGCAACCATGTGCTTCTCCTACAGAAACCCAGTTTAAAATCAATATTTATCCAACTGTATTTATAGAAAGTGGTGGTGGTAGGGAAAGGGGGTAGGGTGGGGAGGCAGGGGGATCTAAAACAGAACAAGCCACAATGACTGATGCAAATCTTTGTGGCCAATTCGTTTCTGCAGGGCCCAGCTTTTTTTAAAAGGCAAAAGACCCTGCTTTTGATGAACCTGCTGTTGGCCCCAGTACCATAGCAACCGCCCAAGTCTTCTAATATGCCCAGAAGACAGACTTGGGAAAGGCAGCCGAAGGGGGGTGGTGTTTCCTAGGAGCCTGAACTTGAGTTAGGGCCAGGAGAGTTGGACAACTCTGAAAAACAAAACAAAACAAAAAACCCTCTCCACTTGGCTATTCTATCTCCAGCTTCACTTCTAAACTTTTTCTAAGCAGAGTATTTGCAGGAAGACCTTGGACAACCAACAGGGTATTTCAAATACCAGCTCTGCTTCATGTTGCTAGATGACCTTGAGCAAGTCATTTCACCTCGCTAGACTTCATTCCTTAGCTGGAAAATGCACATACGCACATACGGTTATTAAGATTGCAGGCTTATTCTGGAATCAGAGGCCTAGGTTCGAAACTCAGCTCTGCCACTTACTAACCATGTGACCTTTGGGCAAGTTACACATCATCCCTGCTTCGTGGTTACTCTGTCCATAAACTGGGGGTAATAAAACTGCATATGTCATGGAGTTGTTGTGAGGATTGGAGATAATGCATTCTTAGCCCCACACTGGCATATAGTCAGTGCTCAATAAATGGTAGCCAGTATTGATATTATGCATTGCAATTAGCTGCTGCTGCCGAAGGCTGCACTCTCTTCATTTCCCTCAGTTTTACCTCCAGATTTTGCCTAGCCATCTTCAGATAAAAATTTCAGGGTGTGTCAATGGAAGAGTGTTTTGGGCAGAGAAGTAAGGTAGATGAGCAACTGTTGTTTTTCCCTGGAGCTGATGAAGCCTACTTTTCTGCCCAAACCAGGAAAGGCCCCATTCAGCACCTCCAACTTCCTAAAGGCCCTGCCCCATTTCCCTGGGTCCCTACACAGACTACCAGTCTCGGAGATCCAGAGCCACAACAATATCCTCAAAAGTACACTTCTGGCATTTACCATTGGGAGGAATATTTAAAAATGGAAAGAAAGTTGAATCTGGGGAAGATAATTTAGGATGAAGAGGAAAAAGAAGCTGGCTTTAAGAATGCTTTTTATACAATTCCACCAAAAAGAAATACCCTACTCCATCTCTACCATAAATCAACCCGCAGAGTTTCCAAAGCAACAACTGCACATAGTAAATGCTCAGTACACATTTGTAGAATGAATGAATGAATCATAAGATGCCTGCCATGTAGAAATGTGAACTGCTTAACATTAGCATAAGTCGCCCTAGTCTTCTGCTCTCTAAACCAGTAACTGATTGGTTTCAGGGTCACAGCTGATGACACTATGCCATTTCAGCTCTCCAGGCCTGACCACTATCTTCTTGCAGGCCCTGGTCTTTACAGCCCAAGGGAAGTCTATGTTGATTATGGGAGACATCCTCCCTTCTTAGAAGAGATCTGTATATCCAGCTTTTTTCTAAGTCTCAAAGTCTGTCCTGTGTCCCCTGATCTTCAAACCTGATTGCTCTGCCATAGCCAATAAATGGCAAATCCAACCAAAGAATGTATATTGTTTCTACTGTTTGCCCAGTGTATGTTATATGCAACCGTAACACATATTGAAATACTATAGGTGATCTTTTCCCTTAAGAGGCTAATCATCTCCCTACGAGGATCAAGCCAGTGCACACAGCAAGCAAGTAGAGAATTGCATCATACTGATTATCAAAGCACAGAGAAGTGACTATTTATTGAGCACCTACTATATTCCAGATATTTTAAGTGAAGCACCTCATTTAGTTGTTCATCAATGATGTGAGGCTATGTGGTGTTATTGTTATCTGCATTTTACAAAAAAATGTAACCTCCGAGAGGCTAGGCTGTGTGACCTAGCTGAAGGTCACAGCCAGTAAGCAGTGAAGGAGAAATTTGGGCTCTGCTCTGAGTGACTGTAAAGTTTTCATTCTCTCAACTACCGTGACTTAAGAAATAGCCAGGGGTGCTTTCTAGAGGAGATGAGTACTGATCTAGGTCTTAAAGGGTGGGTAAGATACTGATACCCCTCGCGAAAGTAACAGAATGAAGGCATTCTTGACGGAGGGAAGAGTCTGAGGCAAGCACAGAGTCGTGGCTGTGAAGCCTGCTTGCTGGTGGACCTGCAGGAAGGGAGCAGAGGAGATTAAGTCAGGATGCAGGGTGGGGCCCAATGAAACCAAACAGCAGCAGCTTCCTCCATTAGGAGGAAGAGGCCGCTCCTTGGCCTGTTCATGCTCCTAGGAAAGCACCTCACCCTCAAACCCAGGTAATCCACTCCAAAGAGCAATCCATACCTTTGACTCCCACCTAATCATTCTTCTGTAAAGCATTGCCCCCAGAGCCACCTTCGGCAAACACTGGCAAGACATTTCTGCCTAGATTCTAGACCTTACCTATTACTCTAGCTCCCACTTGCCTCCTCAACAGCTTTTAGGCACTTAACTCCCTTTTGTGAATCTGTTTTTTTCCCTTTCAGTTTTAACTTTTTACAAAACAGGAAGTAAATATTTTTCCTAATTACCCTCCGTCCTAAGTCACTACCCTTCCATTGGACCTCAAATGGATATAGGTAATGATGCCAGTAATTATTTATATATAATTTCTGAATTTGTGATAATAGGGTAACTGTCCCCATGATAATACTTCTGGTAGCCTTTAATTTGAGATTCTTAGGGATTCAAATCCGTTGGACCTTCAGGAGAATGACTATACCTGCATATACTAGGGAATCCTTACATAAGGAACAAGACAGTCAATACTGACTGACTGAATTTAAATCCCCTGCCCCAAGAAAACTAACCATATCTACTGAAAACTAACCATATCTACTGGGAATAATTCAACACTGTGGCCACAACTTGGTGAACACTTCTAGTACGGAAACCTCAAAGAGGCAATGAAAAGCAGTTCCGGCGACAATGGAAAATAAGGCAAGCTCCTGCCAAGTAAGTACTTTCCAGACAACAGTAAAAACGGAACGTGTGAACTCGTGACAAGGGTCTAAGGGTGCATTTCGGGAAGGTCTCTCAGAACCCGAAATGGAGAATGGAGAATCAAGGATCAACATCCGTCCCTGGGGAGAAGAGCGTCCCTTTAAGAAGAGATTGTACCAGCTGGCCGCACTACAGCTCCCAGAGATTTCCTGGCTAGCTTCCTGGCCCCACCTCCCAGCTTCTAGCCTCAGCAACGCGTGACGTCAGAGGAAACTGAAGCCGTCGATTGGCTGCACGACGCAGCTAGGTCAAGTCCAGTCAGAGGAAAGAAGTTTGTCTCCATGTGGAAACCATGTGTCTCTAGCTGGGAGGGGGAGGAAGAGGAGGCGGAGAAACTGAGATCAAGTGATTACAGGGGAATTGGCTGAAATGAAGGCGGGGAGGTTGTGCACCTGAGCCGGCGAGCAATGCCCTTTGCAGTAGTGACCTAAAAAGAGAAGAAAAAACTTGCCCAGCAAACAAAACTTGCGCCACCCCCCATCACAATAGTAATTTAAAAGCTACGGTCCTTGCCTCTTTCCCAAACCCGGGGACCTGAGAAATGCTGGAATCGTATGGAACGCCCAGATCCTCCTCCCTCCCCCAGTGACTGATGATGTAAGCGTTTCGGAAAGCGGGGCTCTGAAGCAAAACAAGCCCAGAGCGCGCGGAGCGACCCGCAGTGCCCGAGCCCGGCGCACGCACGACCCGCCCCCCGACTCGCGTTATTGCTGTGCACACGCGGACCGCCGTGACGCGCGGGCATTGTGTGCAGCTAGCAGAAAACAACGGCGAGCGCAGCCAGCTCGAAGAAGCCCCCCCAATAAAATGAGACTGATGCAGGGCTCGCCGTTTTCCGTACCGGGAGACCCAGACTCAGTGGGAGGGGAGGGCGAGAGTAGGGAAGATAAAGTAGCCCCCGTGGCCGCTCCTGCTTGCAGGGAGGATAATAGAGGGCTCGGTGGATGCTCGCTCATAGTTTACTGGAGGTCACTCTCGCCTGCGTGAGCTGGTGGGGAAGGGGCAAGGGCCTGGAGCGGGTCCCCACAGCCAAGCCGGACACGGCGCAGCGCCCCACGCTCTCGGGGAAATCTGGGGACCGTTGGCATCACGTCATGCAGAACCAAACAGGGGCGGCGAAAAGAGGCAAGAGAGCTAAAAATACTCCCGCGGGGAACCGGCCGGAGGAGGTGGGGGCAGGAGGGCCGAACGGCTGACTACGCGCACGAAGTTGACTTGGACTTGGATGCTGGGATTCCCGAGCCCCTCTCGGGGGCTGACGGGCTTGCAGCGCGAACACCTCGGGAGGGGGACCAGGAGGAAGCCCCCTTGGCTTTCTCGGCCTGAGGAGCGGACTCCGCTGCCCTGTGGCCCGCCCTGTGCGGGGCAGCCCGCCCCGGCGCGCCCGGCCCTCTGCTTACGTGACTGGTGGCCACGCCGGAGCCCCGGCACGGAATAAACTAGGAGGTGGCGGCGGCCAGGGCGGCCGGGGGCGGGGAGACAGACGGCTGGAGGACTGAGGTCTCCGATTGTCTGTGCGAAGCGGGGGGATTGTGCGGGGAACGCGGTGGAAGCTCAGTACACCTCACTCGGGCGGGGGGTGAGGGGAGGCAAACCAGGTATGTCAGACACTGCCAAGGTGCCCTCTTCGGGTGCACCCCTCGCCAGGACCCGCGCCACTGTACAGACTCCGGAGAACCCGGGACTCCAGGCCGGGGGCTAAAGAATCGCGCCCCTCCCCCCTCCAACAAAAGCGAACACATCAAACAAAACCACGTCTTCACCCAGCTCACACCAGAGCTGGCTTTTCAGAAACTACCCTCCTGACAAATGCCCATTCCCCACACACACACCCGCCCAACCATGAATAATCGCAAACCGATTCAGCTACACAGTCGGCGATGCGCCTTTCTCGCAACATAGGCACTCGGAGAAAGCAGAGAAGAGAAAGAAAAGAACGCACAACCGACCTCCCAACACAAATGCTTGTTTTTGCCTTACAGCTTCTGCACAATTGCGTTGCCAACACACGGTTACTTTAACTCTGGTGGTCTAGGGTGTCGACCAGCTAAGATGTTTTTGTATTTGAGGGTGGTTGTGTTTAGAGGGTGGGGGTAGGTTGCAAGATACGACACGTTGCAATCGGACTATTTTTTTCTCTCTCTTCGGTCTCATTGATCTTCCTACTTGTTCGGACAGATTGAACAGCCTGGTTTTCTCTAGTCTGCCGATCTATCTGCCTCGGTTCTTTCCCTCTTCTCACAGCTATTATTTGTGAGGACCGTGCTGGAGACACCGCACCCGCGTGTCCGGTCAGGGCGCTGAGTCGACTGCCCAGGGAGCACTAGATGACTTGACCCAGCTGGCAGGGGCAAAAATGAAACAAATACAAAAAGGAGGCCAGGCCAGGGTGGGGTTCCTAGCACCCCACCGCCTTACCGCGCTTCACTCTCCTCCCGAATCTGGGGGTTGGAGGGTGGGGAACGGTAGAAACAGACCAGGAAGGCGCTCGCCTTCCGTGACCTGCACGGTCACTCCCGGAAAATAAAGGAACCGCACACAACAGCCCACACCTTCCTCCCCAACTATTGTTTCCTGCGAGATCCCAAAGTTTCCATCCAGCTACGTCCCCCTCTCCAAGTTTCCCGGGCGCAGGACGGCGGGTAGGGGGGGCAAGCTGCCTGCGCTGCCCAGCCCTCCCTGCTTGTTTCTTTTGGGGCAGGGGGTGGCACCCCAAGGCAACAGAGGCGCAGGGGAGTGTACCCGTGGACGCGACCGCCCAAGCCGAGCCCTGCTGCGAGAGGGAGGAAAAGCAAAGTAGCCCGGAGGGAGAAGCAGAGCCCACAGCCCCAGCGGGCCCGCGCCGAGGAGACTGTTTGGTGGTTGGTATTGTTGTCGTGTGTTTGTGTTTTCCTTCTGGACCCGCTGAGCTCTGCCTACGGTTTCCAACTTTCGGCTTCTAATCCCCACCCCACCCAGGAACGAGCGACAGAAAAACAACACTTGTCTGCCCGAGAAGGCTCCGGAAAAAAAAAAAAAAAGAAAAGAAAAAGAAAGGCGACCTCGAGGAGAGCTCCCCGGCTCAGTTGTCAGCAAACAACACTCCCCGCTCCTCCGCCGGCGGTGCTCCCAGCCTCCGAGAGACAGACCTGCAGACCCTCCGGCAGGCCCCTCTCCACCCCCGTCGTCTTTGTTACATCTTTAGCAGCTTTGTTGTGCGTGTCCTTTCTCCGGTGTCATCGGCTCTAATGCCATGCGCTGGTGTGTATTGGGAGGAGGGGGCGCGGGCCGAGCAGGGCAACAGGGGTCGCCCGAGTGGGCGAGCAAGAAAGACGGGCGCCGAGAAGGAGCCACGGCCCCCAAACTTACTTTTGTTTTCTTTCTCGATCTGCTCCAGGTAGCTGGCGGCCTCGAGCAGAATCTGCACGTTCTGCAGAAAAGTGTTGATGTGCTTCTCCATAGAGTTCTCGCTGGTGTTGAAAATGTCCGAGAAGGGGCACCTGAGCTTGGCCCCCGCAGGCTCCTCGGGCTGGGCCAGGGGCTGCGGCGCAGCCAGCGCCGGGGGCGCGGCAGGGGCCAGCCCCGAGCCCTCGCAGCGCGCCTCCTTGCGCGGCCGCCCGCGTTTGCCCATGGAGGGACCGGGGTCCGCTGAGCTCGTCGTCTTTTGGGGCTGCGCGGCGCGGCTGAGCTCCGGTCCCCAGGGGAGACCCGGCTGGCTGGAGAGGAGGAGGCGTCTAGGCGAGGAGGCGACCTGACTTCCCGAGCCTCGCTGCGTGCAGTTATGTTTGTGTGTGTGTGTGTGTGTGTGTGTGTGTGTGTGTGTCGGTCTCGCAGTGGGTCTGTGTGTACGGGAGATTGAATGAACCTACAGGACAGACGGAGGCGCTCTGGTGCCTGGGTCCTAGTGCGAGCCTGTCACCATCCGAACTGGTCAAAATAAAAGGTGGAGACTAGCGAGACAGGGACCGCCCCCAGCCGGGCTGAGCATCCTGCCCCGCCTCTCCCCAAATCTTACCACAGTGTAGAGCACTGTATTTTAACCCGAATGGAAAAAATACTCGGTGTTTCTGGGTGCACCTGCATAAAACAAACTACTAATATTTTTTTTGTCTTCACATAAAAATAACACCTCGCAAAGTCTCCAGCATGATGCCTGGCACAGAGTAGTAGGTCCCCAATGAATGGTAGCTGCTGTGACTTTTTTTTTTTTAATAAAAGCCCAATCGAAAAGGCCATCACATAGAACTTGAAGTTCCCTCTCTTCAGTACACGCACCCCTACACATACACGCAGAGGCACCGGTATGTGCCTTCACAGAGCCAAATGAAATCCCCAGGCCACAAAATCCAAATCCTGGTTACAGATGTACTCACTCTTTCTTTCACCCTTCAAATGCAAAGTTATTTCCCTGGAAGGGGGAGGAAATGTAAGCATCTCTCTTCACACTCCTCTTCTCAGCCTTCGCTCAGCTGTGCAAAGCTCTCACGGGGGTGCCACCACACTTGGCTCCCTTTTATTGGACAGAGAGGGAGAAGTGACCGTCCCCCCCACAACCAAGCTGAATTCCACCTTTGGCTCTGAAGACCTCTACCCCAGTTGACACTGTTTCCATTGCTGCTGCTGTCACCCAATCAAGGTCTGCAGGAACCAAGAATGCTTTTCCAGGCCTTAGAGGTAAGGTGGAGTCGGAGGAATAGCTGAAGGCCAATGGGGAGTGCCATAGAGAAGGGTTCAAGTCCCAGCTCTGCTGCATGGATCTTGTGAGCTCCGGCAATTCCCCTACCCTCTCTTGGTCTAAGTTTCCTCACCTGTGAAATCTCTGCTTCTTAAATCATATTTGCCCTTAGTACACTTCCTGACCCATAGTAAGGTCTTTTTATTCCAGTTCAGACACAGACCAGAGCCTGGTACCCTACTTTCCTCTAATGGGGGAGCCAGCTACAGGAAACAAGATGCATCTGCACTTGGAAAACCTCTGAAATAAGCCCATCTGAAATGGTGTCACCTCACAAGGCCACCTGGAGCTTTCCTCCAAGGGAACCATTTACGTAGAAGACACAGCCAATGCTGCCCCCTGGAGTTGTGCCACTCAGCCACCCTACTCAGAGGCAGCTTCCTATACTTTTGTCAGGAAGAATCTTACAGGAAATAGAAACATTTTTTTAAAAAATAAAAACATTTCTTTGTAAAACACTCACTATATACAACTCAGAGTACACACACCCTCACAGAGCCTTCAGGAAAGCCTTGTGTATTTGTAGAATATAACAACTTGCTGCTGAAACTATAGGAAGAATCAGTAATTGGCATTGTAAAGTCCATGTATTCATATTTGGGATCATACTATAATCATGTGACACCTACTCTTCTCAGTTGCTATCTTGTGACAAATTTTCATTGGTTGATCTCTGCATTCTTCATCTAGGATAGAGCAGAGGTTCCTAAGAGCTGTGGAAATAAGTCACCCTTCCATTAACAGAACAATTACAGTAACGACTTTTTGTTCCTATTGGAACCAAGCCTGAGTTATTCATGTTTAAACATCTATAAATGTCTAAGGACTTGAGGAAGGTAGTTTCAAACAAATTACATCCAATGTTATTTTTCAAAAACTGGCACTTGTGCAAAACAGCCCTGATTTCTCTTACCCCAAAGATAATGAGACAATGAGCCAGCTAACCTGGAGAAAACCTTGGTCTCTCTTTAATTCCCTGGTGGAGGCACAGGCCAAATGTGCATATATGCAGTACTGTGACCTACATGTGTGTATATACACACCCACTGAAGCAGGCACACCCCACATGTGAGGGCTAAGGCGGAGGTAGAGTGTTTTATAATTATTTATCCCTATTTCATCTCTCATAGGTCTGATTGCTTCAGAAAGCCCAGTGGGAATCTTCAAGGCAGGCCACGGGTCTGACCAAAGCCAAAATAAACAATGGTTGAAGAAAATCTACAAAAAAGTGCTGACTTGCACTATTCCCACAGTTAACCACAGCCCTCACCATCATTCCCATGGAAAACACCACTGCTGGTGCCAAATCAAGTTCCCCCCCCCATCATTGAGGCATTGTTTTTTGTCATTGTGTGACTTCTTAGCATCGAACAATGGCACCACAAGAGACACAGTGAAGGCAGGAGAAATGCCTTTTTGTTTCATAAAGTCTGTGATATTGTGCCCCGAGGTCTCACATATAGTATAGTTGTGTATATTCACTTTGGTGACATGTATGTGGAGGGATGAATGTGCCAAGCTAAAGCTCAAAGCCCATTCCTTATTTTTTTCAGAGCCCATCAAGTGTTAAATCATATTAGCATTACTTGCTCTCTCCCTCTTGGTCCCTCCCCCCAATTAACAGATTTCTCTAATAAAGCTGGCCCAACAGAGAGGGATGTTTCAGGGGTTATATCACGGGACAGGCATCCAGGAGGCTGAGTTACAAGTCCAGTTCCATTCCCGATTAGCTTTGCTTCCCGGGAGGAGCCATTCAAACCCTTTGCACCTCACTTTCTCTGGGGCTTTGACTCCATAAGTAAACAGGCCTCTTTGGAAATTTGCTGGGAATTTCTGCGGAGAGCAGGTAGGGGATGAGGTGGCTGGCCTGATAAGAGCTTGTGAAATCTTTAAAAGAAAAGCAGTGACTATTTGCAGTGCCCAGCAAGGCCAGCCACGATACTCCTTAGGGCCGCAGATATCTTGGGTGCCTGCTCAGGCTGGGTCTTGTTTTCCCAAATCTTCTGTCTCTTTGTTTGACTTATTTGCCTCTTTGGTAATATTTTTCTATCAACCTTGTTTGCATTTTAAAGCAAGATCACTGTCTCTTTTTATTTGCCCCTCTCTCCCCCAAGACATTCTACATTCTTACACCACAGGAGCTGTTTTGCCTGTAATTATGTCTTCAGGTACTCAGAGGCTGGTTATTACTGAGAGGAGGAGAACTGCCCCCATCCTGCATCAGATGGGATGCCCTTCTCCATCCTGGACCATTTCGGCTCTGCTGGGCTCCTTGGCCCTGCTCCTCCCTATGCATTCTCCCCTCACCCCCATGTCTAGCTTTCCTTGGACCTTGCAGCTCAGTTGGGCCACGCTCTTTTACTTGTGATCTTTGTACTCAGGCTTGGTAAACACGATCAGGACATCTTCTGGCCCCTGCACTGTCACTTGAGTCCTGATCCCCAGAGCTTTCCTAGCCAACTTTTTCCTAGGCACCTTTCCCTTTGGCAAGGGATCACCCAGCAATGAGCTGAGCTGCTGGCTCAGGTCTCCTTTTGAGCCTTCATCTCACTTCTATCTATTAGGGAACAAAAGTGGCCTCAAAAGAAGCCCCAAAGTAGAGGGTTAGGAACAGGTAAGACACAAATAGAACAGCAGAACAAGGGGAACTGTGGGGGTCTACTTCTCCCACTGGCTTCTGGCATAGCCTTAAAAGTGCTGACCAGTCTTCCTTCAGCCCCACCCACACACTCACCAGTGGGTGTAGACACGGGCAGAGGATAAATAGCCTCCACCCTCCAGTGGAGCTCACCTGGGTGTCACCTGCTCCTGGGAAATTATCTCTGCTCTTCTGGACTCTGCCCTCTCTTCTCATGGACCTCTGAGGCTGGCATGCCCTTCCTGTCTCAGCCACCTCCTGGGCTTCTCCTATGCAACACCCAGTACTTACAGGGCTCATTAGACTGAGCTCATCAAGGGCAAGGAGCATGCTTCACTCCGTCTGGCATCCCCAGTCTCTGGCACCTAACAGAGCATATGCATGACCAAAAACAGGGGCTTAGGCCAAGAGGGGCAAGGGAATGTATGCCCCTTTCCCACTTGGCTGGAACCTTGATGCTGGCCTTTCATGGCTTCCTTGCTCCAGCATGGCAAGGAGAGGCACTTAGGCTGTTTGCAAAAGCCATTCCTGAGTCACTCACATTAAAATTTAAATATCAAAATGCTGTTTCTGTGGAGAAGCCAGAAACTCATTGAGCCAGATAACTGAGGTTCCCTTCCCCAAAAGCACAGAGGTTCAGCTGCCCTTCTCCTGTGCTTACCGTTCTCCATATCCAGTGAGAAGATGGGTTTCCTCTATCATAAGATGCCTTTGATGAAGAGTTTTCATAAATCACCAGGCAGTGAAGGCAGTGGCCTGGGACCAAAGTGGGAATCACACTGGGCTTATTTTTTCACATCTTATTTTAGGGTGTTTTCTAGGAGGCTCTTTCAGGTTCTTATTTTCTTTAATGTCTCCATATAAAAAAAAAAAAGAATTCTGCTAAGATTCCAAATTCATGTATCTTAAGGTACCAGTAACTGACACCGGCCTACATCCGATCATTCCCAAAGGTATTTGGAATTAAAAGATGGCCAATACTTTAAGCTAAAGGAATAAAGTTCTCATGGTGAAATGTTAGATATCAGGAAATGGAAGGGAAAGAAAGTATGCAGGTGGTAAAGGATCTTCCTCCTATCAGCTGGCTGAATTTGTTCAAGTTGCTTAGCCCTTCAGAGCCTCAGTATTCTCATCTACAAAGTGGGAAGAACAACATTTGTCTTGATGAAGGGGTGTATATATAAAGGAACTTTGGAAACTGTAAAGTTTGTACACCTGTCAGGACATTATTAGGCTAGGAGAGTCCTAGAAGATTTTCAGGGAAGACAAAAGCAATGACAAAAATATGGGAGCAAGAGTCCGAAGCCCAGACTTTGGGCCATCTCTGCCGCTGCACTGCTCTATCATTCAGGGTAAATTCTCTCAACAACCACGGCAGCGGCCTCATCTGTGGCACACAGCCCACCCTCCTCCCCCATTTCAGAAGGTATCATAAATTCACCTCCCCCATGGTCATTAATCACAGACTAGGATGTCACTGCCCACTGGGGTTT